TTATTCGTCGTACACTTTGTAGTCAGCGAGAAGAGTGGCTTCACCTAGTGAGGCCCGGACGGAAGTGAACAGCAGGTGTGATCTCGCCACCGTCCGCATTGTATGCCTTCTCAATATCGAAGATTGAAACAATGTGCGTGATGGCTAACCAAATCGCGTCTTCCGCGAAGTGCCTTCCTGGGCAAATCCTGCAGCAGACTCATGATGAGCGGGACATGCACCAAGCGGCCAAGTGTCCGTACCGTCTCCCAAAGCCGAACACGTAGTTACGAGGATCAGACAATACGTCGACATTTGCGTCCTCAAATCGCTCAGGATCGCTCAGGACGAAACGACTCTGCATCGCGATATAATTCGGCCGAGCGGGACATTTGCCTACGTTCCGACAGCGTTATAGTACAATTGCACACATTGGCGACTGCACACGTACCAGATGTTTGCGAAAATCATTGAACCTCTAGGAATGTGGAAGTTTCTGTACTCATCGACCGACTGCAGGTGATGAGGCAGTCCTATCAAATGAATGTTAGTGTCCTGTTCATTTCCATCGTGCTGTGACTCTACCTAGAGGCAATGGCGGATTCCAGCTGATATCCTGAAGAGTATAATATACGATGGACTGCCTGAACACTGCCACATACCGATATAGTTCTTGGATGATACAGTTGATATACGGCAACGAGTCTTTATGCTCGAGCGTAGGCAGGTTGCTCATGCCGACAATGCGTTCAATCTCATCGCGAGCCTTGACATACACTCGGGGGTGCAGTACCATGGCCAGCATGAACGTAGACAGGACAATGGAAGTCTGAAAATATGTCAGGACGGAAGGAAACCCCGGGTGTGTATTCACCGTATCAACTCCCGCTTTCGAGGAGTATGTGAACAGTGGGGAAACCGCGATAAACACAAGCACATTACCGGAGTATACAGACGCACCAACGCCCTTGATGTCGTCTTCATCGTCCGCTAGTGAGCCGTTCCTCGCAGACTCGCGATACAGAGCTGCGATGAGACAATCACGGACTTCTTCGTTGTTGTCCTAGCAGACGTCAGGACGTCGTCTGTGTAGGTCAAGAAGTAGAATGCACTAATTGCCGTTTGATCATATGGTACGGATCATCGAACAAACGACGTATTGATTGTCGAACCTGTCGAGCCTCTCTAAGGGACGCAGCGCCAGGCAACCAGTCCGGGACATACTGTACTGTCAATGGCATGAGAATGGCACCTATCCTGAAGCGGGAGTGCTCACGGAAAGGAAAGAAATCGATCAACGAGCCGGCAGATTCTCCTGCCTTGACAGTGGCGTGAAGTGCGGACTCTGCCATCCGGAAGTGTTCGTCCTCCGTAGACTGTATCGGTTGCCCGTAGAGCGACGTCATGACCAAAGACGCAGGGAATCTACGCATTACTCAGCATGCGGTATCTCGGACCAAGAGATTTGGGGCACACCTCCTGAGATGTATCAGAAACATCTCGGGCGACACCATCAGATTCTGCACTAGAACCATGCATTCCCGCTTTAGGAGCGTCCTATGCCCGACGAGTGATGTGCGTTCCCCGTAAGCAGTTTGGATCCACTTTCGGTGCTTGCGCCATCTATCGCCATAACACATGAACGGGGTGGCTGGATCCCAGCCTAGTCTGTGAGGCACCTTGTGTCAGCATGCATCAAGGTTCAGCGCCCACACCTCCCACATTTGCTTCATGAAAACAAGTGGAGGTCTGTCCGAGTACTTGGGACTCTTCTTAGCCATCAGATCTTGTGCCGCCTTGACAGAGTTTAGCACGATGGCTGGTGTGCGGAATAGCCTGATGTGGATGATGTCTCCTGACAATGGCAATATTCAGGCACGCAGGTCGCATCGAGACGATGGTCATTACCGTATTTCTCTCCCCATTCGCCAAATCTTCGATATTGGTACTCCATCGGTATCTGCAGCACATTTCCCAGGAAGAACAGTCGTCTGGGGCCCGGCGGTAACGCAGATGAAAGACGGAAAAACACCGGACAGCAGTCTGAAGCGCTGACAAGCACGACGCACAGCATCGAAATGAGGCCAAATACCAAGGTCAGATATCCAGGTTCCATCATGGCCGAGGGTCAGACAAGTGCAGCCGCACTCGGAGCACGATACTGTAAATGAACCTTTATAGATGGCTTTGAGCCGACCCCGTGAGACACCGATGCATCGGCATGCAGTAGGGCGCCTCTATGTCATGCACAAACGCTGAACGGTCAATGCTTGTGGAGCGAGTCATGACCATTGTTTTTGATCAGAACCGAGGACTACGGCGGGGAGGTTGAGAGGTGCCGTGATTGTACAGCGTATGGATCGTCTAACCCGGATTCTACGTTTAAATTACCATCGGAAGGCTCTGGTAGTCTCAGGAAAGTTCGAAGTGGGCTTGATCTGAGACAACGAATGCCTTTCAGCAGACTAGAATTAACCTGTAAATTGTGTCGGCAAGGCCGCTGATCTGGGTTGCAAGCGTTGTTTTCGAGCTCCGCTCTTTTCTTGTTGGCTCACTATCGTTCCGCTTATTACTTATCTAATGATATCTGGTCTGCCGCCTAAACTCGCTCCAAACTTCAAGTTACAGCAAAGGACTGTGTCGCTTCCATTCAATATCCATAGCCACTCATAAGCGTGATATCTACGAGACTACGACTTCTGGCTTAGTGCCATTTGGCACAGTATACAGCTTCCATCCAGCTACGGCTTTGAAGGCTGTGTCGTTACCAAGCTCCTGAGACGTAGTTTGCCGACTTTGCCATTGCTATGTTAGTGAAACAAAATGTAAGCATGCACGATCATCATCTTTTGGGCGACCAACGTGGTGAGCGGCATTACATCGTGATAGATGCCAGGATGAGGCCCCCATGCTCGTCCGCCAGTTCAGTGTCATGCTGTCTCATGCGATTGGGCCACCAGGCCGTTCATCACCCCATCGTCGTCCCCCTCTCGAACCTCGTCCGACTGTCTGAGTGCAACTCCGGCGCCACCGCCATCACATAGTCGAATATTGCACTGCCTGGACATTTTCTCACACGGGAACAATAATCAGTTACCGAGGGCCGGGAGCATCAAAGGGGGACGGTGTTGGAGCACGACAATCCGTGCGTCGTCCGCCGCGCTCCGGGACCGGTTGCGCGCCAT